CCAGGCCTTCGTTGTAGATCTGCATGGTGATTGCTGATTGACCACCGGTCCTGACTACGGGATTCTCGGGTTCTGATGACGGGTGGTGTTAAGTGGGGAATCTGGTAAGAATCTTATATGTCCCGGGGGCCGACGGTCACGGTCACTAATAACTCCGCCGTAGTCCGGAGTATACTCATAAGCCCTGACTCGCGGCCGGCAAGGACCCGCCGCGCCGGACGGTGACTCAGTGCCACGCCGGTGCTCGGAGTCAGAGCTGATTGGACGTGAAGTCCGATCCGAAGGCTTTGCAAGTTTCAATCAGTGCACCGTCATCGTGACTGCGCAGTGCCCCGGGCCCGCCGACCCCGCCCCCGGCCCACTCGGCCCGTGATGCGGCGGCGCAAGCCTTGAAGGCCGGCCGCAGCCGCTCAGACGGTGCCACGGCCCGGTGACTCCCGGGCCAGCCGTTGACCGTACTACGGTACGGTCCGATCGGTCTGCTCCCGGCCCGGGAGTCCCCGGCGGGAGCCCCGGCGGCTACTATCCGATGATCCGATGATCACCGTCCGAGTCAGAAAAGAGATGGACATAGGAGGGGATGAGGGGCTCCATTGACAGCATGAGAGGGAAGGAGGGATGCGATGGGGAGCAGTAAGGAGAGGAGGAGCGGAATAAAGAACCGAGGAGAGAGAGATACACGGGATACAAGGGAGGAAGTGATGTGCTACGAGTGACCCAGCAAGGTGCCCTCAGCATAATCGCAACCATGTCAGCTGAGAAAGCTTCGGAAGCAACCACCGTGTTCTACATGGATCTCCATAAGAAGTACCTGGCATCGCTCAAGGACAAGAAGAACTCCTTCGAACATGCGGTGACAGAATATCTCCGTATGTCGGGTGTCTACTGGGGACTATGCAGCATGTACTTGATCTCGAGTGAAGACTTGCTGAACAAGGATGAAGTAGTCCAGTGGGTCCTCAGTTGTCAGCATCCTTCGGTAGGCCTTGTTGTGCATTTGCCGCCTTGTGGTCTAGTGCTGATAATGATCTTCTTTCCTTCAATGCACAGGGAGGATTCGGAGGCAGTGTTGACCACGATGCACATCTGTTATACACCTTAAGTGCAGTGCAAATTTTGTTGATCTTTGACAAAATCGAACTTGTTGACAAGGAGAAGGTACGGAATTCAATAAAACTTGTGCGCAAGCTTAATGGTCGAGCTGATTGTCATTGCAGATTGCAAACTACGTAGCAGGGTTACAGCAAGATGACGGATCGTTCTATGGTGACGAGTGGGGCGAGGTCGACACCAGGTTCTCGTACTGTGCGCTGAGCTGCCTGTCCCTGCTGGGTCTGCTGGACAAGATCGACGTCAACAAGGCAGTTGACTTCATTGTCTCCTGCATGAACTTTGATGGGGGTTAGAGCGATTGCCCTTCAGATGATGCGCTGAACCATGGCGCAGGGTTTGGGTGCATCCCTGGAGCGGAGTCACATGGAGGGCAGATCTTCTGCTGCGTCGCCGCTCTTGCCATTGCTGACTCGCTGCATCATGTCCGAGCTGACGATCTCTGCTGGTGGTTGTGCGAAAGGCAGACCGCAGGTGGAGGATTGAATGGACGGCCCGAGAAACTGCCCGACGTCTGCTATTCGTGAGTCGAACTGGCTGTCATCATTGTGAAAATACTCCTGTCTTACCGCGCCCCTCCTCTTTCTCTCCCTCCCTTCCGCATCTTCTTTTCTGTTCGTTTCGTTCCCTCTCAGAAATCCCGCACTCTCTTGTGTTCTCCTCTCATTCTCCTCTCGTGTTTGCATGCGTCAGAGTTGTCCGACAAGATGGTCACAAGTGCTCTAACTGTTTGATTAGGTGGTGGAACCTTTCTGCGCTTGTCATTCTTGGACGAATCGATTGGATTGATCGTGAAAAGCTTCGCCAATTCATCTTGAATGCACAGGACGAGACAGAGGGAGGCATTGCCGACAGGTGACAAACCATCAAACGATGCAGGATATCAAAAAAGCTTCTTTTCTGACTTGTTCGTGTACCTGCACAGACCAGGCGACGTAGCCGATGTTTTTCATACCTTCTTTGGCATTTCTGGCTTGAGTCTGCTTGGCTACACTGAAGAGGATGAAGAAGGCATTCCAGGGTTACGGCGGATTGACCCAGTGTATGCGCTTCCTGTTCAGGTGCTAGAAAGAATGAATGTTCGCGTCTGGCGAGCTGTATGAGGATGATGAGGATGAGGATGAGACGAATGATCAAGTTAGATGGCGTCGGAGGAGAAATAGATTGAAAATTCATGATAAAAGTCCTGATCCTTATTCCTTCCAGCGATTCCCGCAGTTGAGACACTGAACTTACAGAGTCAAGTCCGATGGTTTTGATCGCTCTTGCAATGCTTCTCACCGTTACAAATGTCGTCATCGGCTCATCTGCACTTCTTGTCTGCATCTGATAGTATGTACACTTCCTCTTCTGGCACCTCCGACAAAGGAACAGGTCGGAGACCTGGATTGAAACAGTTAGGACACGGAATACAGGAAGCAAGATTGTTGACCGCATATTGATCTTCTGCTCCTCCAGCTGAATTTGACTTCATGTAGTATGCTGCATATGTCTTCCGATACCTGGACAAGACAACATTTAGAACATAAAGTTACCCATCACAACAAGAGCATTACTCCTTGAGGTTGTCAGAGGCTAACTCAGTGGGATCCATGAGGGTCAGCCTTTCAGGCTGAATGATTCCTTGTAAGATCTGCAACAAACTTACTGATCGAGCATCTTAACCTCCAACCGTACTCTTCTTCGTAGATCTGGATTCTTTGAATCTCTCAGGTTGAAGAGGATTGAACTAAGACATCGATATCAAGGAGCAGAAGGCGGCAATCAACAAAAGTACCGTGCTCTTCCCTTATATCTTGAATTGCTCTCATCCTTGCCGAAGAATCTATACCTGCAGATCTTGTTATCACTTGCTCGTGGGACAGTCGCTCACTGATACATGGAGTGTTCTATCGCAATAGCCGCATCGAGAGCACTGTACTTGTCCCCAGGCAGAACATGGGGCTGTAAGGCATCGCACAGCTTCTCACGTATCAGGTCTCGAACAGCATTTCGAGTTGGGTGACGATATTTCCTGATGGCATGCGCAGTCGAGGATCCAGTCAGGTCCGAGCCTGTTTTGCTCTCGTCCATTACGGAGCCGGTGCTGCCATCTTTGACGCCCTTCTCAACGCTCATCTCTGTGAACTCCATTGGCACAGAATCCTTACTTTCAGTAACGGACTGATCTCCTCTCTTCTCATCGGTGGGCTTCCCAGGTTTCTTGACTGCCTTCTCTTTTCTTGACTCCCCTGGCAGGGGCAGAGCCTTCAACTCGTCCATGGTGATCTCCTCAACATTCTGTAGACTCGAAGTTCCCTGCATTTCGCTCGTTCCTCGGCCTTCTGATTCTTCAATGTTAACATGTTCCGGGTTATCAGACCCTCCTCGCAGCGACAGCATGGGGGCTGCGGTTATCATCCCATCCCCGTATAGCAGCCGCTGCCTCCCGGGGCCATGCAGCCTTCTGTGCTCGATCTTGTCGCACATCTTGTGATGAAGAATGCTAGCGATAGATCTATCTGATCTTTCACTGCCAGTTGTGAATCCCCACTCGACATACGCGCTGAGAAGGATCAAAATCCTCAGCAGCCTCGTCGCATCTCGGAATGGCTGATGGAAACTTGTGGAGAGCAGGCAGGGCATGGTCTCAGTGCCGTCTCCAACCCTTCTCCTCGATACCTCACACGCACGATGCTCTTCTGCTCTACTCTTCATCCTTCCTGGCCCTGCCTTTCCTCCTTCATCCATTGCATCCTCCATTACGCCGCTCCCCGCCCTGTGCCATGATCCACCCTTCCTTGAGGTAGAGCCCCCCCACTGCTGCCCTGTTTTCGGGGGTAATTGGGAGGTACGGGGGGTAATTAAGTTTACTCAACAGGGGTAATTGATCACCGTAGGGGTAGATGGCCAACATAGGAGAACGTTTTAAAAGTGTTATAAGATGATGTTGAGTAATCTTTGGTTGAAGAGGTGGAAATGCCCAGGAAGGGAAGCCACTGCGAGGAATGGCGCTGCAGGGACGGCGGCGCGATGGCGCAATTGACGGTTGAAGAAGGAGAAGAAAGATGGAGATGGAGATGATTATGGGAAATAGGGCGAGGAGGAGGAGGAAGAGGGGAAGGAGGAGGAATCGAAGGAATCGACTGCTACTGCTCTGTGTAACTTTGTTTAATAGTTGTTATACTCTCATGGTGTTTGGTTGCCCTTCTCATCCTTTAGAATTTCTGTATTTGACAGAGTGTAAATCATGGCATTCGAACTTTTTTCATTGCCGAAAGCACGCTCTCGCATGTTCGTCAATAATTCTCGTGACTGGTTCTGTCTGATTTCTACTTCCAGAGACCTGCTCGCATGATTGTTATTTCTTGAGGGTTCTATTCGTTTGACTGATATTTTATCTTGCAGAATTCCTTCCTTACCATGAATTCTCAACCAAAAATCACTCTGTCCAGTGCAAACATGGTCAACCAGCCTTTCTCGAATCCGCAACGCGTCAAGAAGGTTCGATCTTCGCTCAGGAAGAGGGGATCGAGAGGAAAGGGAAAAGGCCGAAAAGAAAAGAATGCAGTGGAAGCTGTGGCAAACCAGCAGCAAGACACATCGCAGCCGGATGTGACCATGGAGATCCCCAAGCCAAAGCGGAGGCGCGAGAGGAAGAACCGTAAATGGAAGCCTTACTCCGCGATGACCTGGCAGGAGAAACTTGAGCAGGAGAAAAAAGAATCGATCAAGGCTGAGCAGATGGATAATCCCTTCGACGCACCGTCCAGTAGGAGAAAGAAGAGGAAGAAGAACACCGAGATCAACATGCCCAGAGCTCCAAGAAACACCACACAGAGCTTGATACACGCAGATAGTACGGAATATGAAAGAGCAAGCTTGGATTTGGAACGAAGGGTTGTTATCCCATCGATGCAAGGAATTTTATCTAGGGAGACCCTCAAAAATGGGAGAAATTTCGATTCTCATGAAGATAGCTCAGATGATGACAGCGAAGTAGAGTATGCAACCTTGCTATCATGTTCATTAATGTTTGCTCCTCAGGGTGGAGTTCGAAGTCCTGGAAGTATTTCCTTGGGTTCTCCATACGATGGGAGCATAAAGTGGATGCTTGTTTTACATATGATTGGCTTATTCTGACTTGTACAATGCAGCGGTGATCAAGTCACTTTGCATTCTGAAGAGATCAAGAAGAGAGATAGGAAAGTCGATTTGTGACTCAAGGCAATGTGAACTTACTGCAAATTTTCTACAGGCGCATAAGTGAGCTCATAGCTGAAAATGAACAGCTCAGGACTCGGATAGAAGAACTCGAAAGGAAAGCAAATGCAACGACAAATGCATGATTCCAAATGTTCGGCTCAGCCTCAAAATAAAGTGAAGCAGACAAAGGAGGAATCGCGTATCTAAACACTCTCTTAGTCTCATACTTGTGTGCCTATCATTCTGTTTCTCGTGGCTTCCCTCATGCCGAAAGCCCAATCAGGAATCGCGTAAATCGTCTTTTCACGCAACTCGGAGTTTCAACCTCTTTCCCAGAGGTGGTATGTTGCCATTGACCGATATTGTCATGGCCTCATTGGGAGAAGTACGTCTGAAACTTCTCGAACAAGATCGTATCTCTTCGAAGAATGTCGCTGAAGACAAGGTCAGCTCGACAGGTAACAAAACACCCTTCACTACACCTCAAAGGCCCAAAGTTGCTTACGAATGCATCGCGACTGATCGATCGCAGCTCTGTCTTGCCAACAACTTTCATGCTGCAAGATCGTTTGCTGCCGGCCATGGCCAGCGCCTGCTCAGCAGTTACGACATGCCGCACAGGCCAAGTCTGCCTACATTCTGTCCGAAGTATTGACCGTGAAACAGGGGATTTCCAACAGAGATACCCGGCTTCTCGCCATCACCGCTCTCAACCACTTTCTGCACGGAGCCTCCCATGATGAGGAAGAAGTCATCAGCAACGTCACCCTGCACCATGATTACAACTTGCGCCAACCACAACGGGACGACAAAGCAACCTGGCGGTACACATATTCCCCATCCCTCAAGGTAGAAGGCTTGAGAGATCTTGCAAGGATGGAGATTTCCTTGGGCATGAGAGTAGAGAAGATGGTCACCCTGCTAAGATACTGCTCGATCTCTGCAATCTCGATGGCCTACAAGAGATACAAGTCAACAATCGCTTGAGAGCAACTGGGCTCACTTTGTCCAGCTCATCAAATTGCCGAGGGGTGATCTCTTCAAGAACGTCCTTGTTTGCTGGGATGTTTTCTTCAGAGTGAATCAACTCTGATAACTCCTTGCTGGTGTTACTGCTCAATTTCCTTGAGCTAGAGGCCCAGAAAGCGACACGATAAGAAAGCACGTGCCGGCAAACATTCAGAGTCACAATATTCTGCAAACTACGCTCACCTGCCACAGCAACTTCCGCTCCACCATAGCATGTGCAACTTTGTCGACTTCTGGAAAAATCACGTTGTTGTCAGCTATTCCCAACACTTGAAGCGTCTCCTTAAGACCATCAACATTCAATTTCACACCCTTTCCTTGATCCGATTGTCTGAACGTGAGCATCGCACTGTGTTGTCAATGTTGACAAGGGATGGGGGTGATGAGGCAAAGATGAAGTGCAAAGCAAAAATTCTCGTCCTCTCTGCTCTCTGCTCTGCTTCTCGCTTCCTCTCCCTCTCCCTCGCCTTCTACCACCCGCCCCTGACTCATTTTGTTCCACTTTCGCTCCTCAGAAAAGTATTTTTGGTTTCTACCCATCGATATACATAAAGACAATTTATACTAAGATTGTACCATAGATTTAAAATGAACATATTGAATGGAAGGTATACCAGCTGATAAATGTATATATTTTAATTTTCCGTAATCTTTTTTTGTACCCATTATATTTTAGTAACTGAAGATTACATCCAGGTCTAAATCACTTTTACACTTCGAACTAGCTGTGATGGCATGGTGTATGCAAGGTAGAATGGACAAGGCGAAAATGAGGCGCGGGGGTGCGGATGGTACGATGAAGGTTAGAGGGAGGGAGAGGAGAGGAGGGAGAGGAGAGGAGGAAGAGAGGACAGAGGGGGGTAGCAGAAGCTGTGTAATGATGGTGAGTCCATGAGGAGAGCTTTCGTCAAGTGTTTGCAGTCATAACTGTTGTTGAGAATCACACAGTATCTCTATACCCAGAATGTAGAAGCATCTCGATACCTGGAATGTAGACATGCGAAAGAACTTGGGTTCACACGGATTCCTCGCTGTACTCCTCCTCTGTTTCTTCGCTGTTGGCATCGTACAGGCAGAGAAAGAGAACTCCGCTGCATCAAATTACGAAGAAAGCGGCGGAATAGATATACCAAAGCTCCCTGACGAAGGTGACACGTATGCTCTGAAGAGCAGCTAGCATGCTGATGGTTTGTGCACGGCAATCACAGCGGAGAGCACGTGGGTTCCAGACTTTGATGACCTCGATATGGATGCGGTCATGCAAGAAACCGAGAACTCGCCTGCGGAGTCAAAATTCCAAGACGTTGAGCCCATCCGAGAGCAACCGGCGCCGTCCTCCAACAGCAGCGAGATAGTGGCGCTATCCTCCAACAAGAGCAAGGCGATCCTAGAGGAGCTCAGCACTGCCGACCAGCAGATTGTGGAGATTCTTAGGGAAATGAGGGAGAGTGGACAGAACATGGACATGAAGGTGTGGAGGAAGCTGAAGAGGGAGGGAGTGAGGGTAGCCCACATGAAGGAAGCAGGGTTGTTCGCTTCCTTACAAGTGGAGTTGTTGCTGACAAGTGATCAGGTTGGCGAATGAGTTTGGTGTTCTGACCGACCCAACTCGATCCAAGGAGTCTGAAAAGATCGGGCGAACTTTCAAGGGGGTCGACGGGTCACTCCTCCTTAAAGACTCTCTTGGAAGGTCTGATAATCTCTTCCATCAACCTTTGTCCTCTTCATCTCCTCCTTCTCATCATCATCATCATCATCATCAGCAGCAGCAGCAGCAGCAGCAGCAGCAGAACCACCACCATCACCACCACTTTTGTCCATGTCTATCACATTCCTTCCTCCCGCTCTCTTGATTTGCCCTGCTCAGATTCCCAGCATGGACGCGGCAAGGAGTTCATTCCTCACAGCGCATCGACACCAACCCTCTTGCACTCGTCACAGTCCGAGATGGAACCCTGGTGGATGCGCAGGGGGGGGAGAGGAAGGTGACCTTGTACAACCCGCTCTACGGCATGCCCAATGTCTCCTTCGACGTCGTGGTCCCGGAGGAAGTGATAGAGCGGCACAGGAATGTTAGCAAGGTCTGTTCGCATGTTTGCATGCTAAAAGCTGACAGTTTCTTGTCAGTGCATTATGACGGCAGGTGGTATCATCTATCGAGATCGAGTCTTGGAGGAGTGAGGCACCTCTTTGCTCTCATGCCCTGTACTGACCTCCTCCTCCTCCTCCTCCTCCTCCTCCTCCTCCTCCTCCTTTTCTTGTTCCTCCTCCTCCTCCTCCTTTTCTTGTTCCTCCTCCTCCTCCTTTTCTTTTTCCTCCTTCTCCTCATTCTGTAGGTGGCCGGACAACGACTTCCGTCTCTTCATCGGCGATCTTGGCCAGCATGCCACCGATCAATCTCTCACCAGCGTCCTCCGCGAGTGTGTCGACGTCTCCTCCTCCTCCACCACCACCACCACACTTACTCCTCCTCCCCCCCCCTCTTCCATTCCTACTCCTCCTCCTTCTCATTTTCCTCCTTCTCCTTCTCCTTCTCCTTCTCCTCCACCTCCACCTCCACCTCCTCCTCTGACCAGTTTGCAGCTGGAAAGGTTTCAACATGGCGAGGGTTGTTGTCGACCGTACCACCGGGTGAAGGAGCTTCATCGTTCCTTCCTCCCGCTCATCCCCTCCTCTCAGGCGCTGCAAGGGCTACGGCTTCGCCTCCTTCTCCTCCGCCGAGCATGGCGTCGCTCTGATCCGGTGAGGAGGAGGCGGAGGCTGCGGGGAGGCTGACAGGGTTGCAGGCACCAGTGGCGGAGTGAAGACAAGATTTGCCTCTCCGGGAGGCCGTTGGTGATCAAGAAGAGCACGTGGCAGAAGAAAATCCTCAGGCCAGAGAAGATGCCGGAGGTGGGGATAGAGACTACCTCCTGCTCCTCTCCTGCCCCTCGTCCTCTCCTCCCCGTCCTCTCCTCCCCGTCCTCTCCTCTCAGTCGCTACTCCTCTCCTTTCCTTGTTCTCCTCTCCAACCCCTTTCTATTCTCCCATCCTCTTCTGCCTGTTCCCTTGTTCTCACCATGGACCAGGTGGAACGTCTGCGCAAGTTCCGGCACCAACTCATGTCGGAGGGTTACCTTCCTCCTGAACCAGAGTCCTACAATAACAAGGCACGCGCTCCCTCCTCCCTCCTCCCTCCTCCCTCCTCCCTCCTCCCTCCTCCCTCCCCCCTCCCCCTCCCCCCTCTTCTCACCCCTACATCGTCCTTCCTCCTTGCCTCCCCACAACTTCTCCCAACCTTCCTTCCATACGAATGTTCGTCTCGTTCCTGTCCTGCTCTGCCCTCCTAGCCTCCTCTTCTCACCGCTCCTGCTCCTGCTCCTCCCTTGTTCTGAACTCGCTGCAGCACATGAAGCGCGTCTACGACTCCATGGGGATCCAGAAGGACGAGCTGCAGTGGCAACTTGACCTCTTTGCTCGCAAGGGGCTCAAGTTCAAGCCCGACAAGAAGCTGCGGAGTACGTGAGGGAGAGAGCGAGTGCTGGAGGAGAGGTGCCACGTATGGTACCCAGGAGGAAGAAGAGGAAGAGGATAGGGGTGGAGTTGTAGGGAGAGGAGGAGGGAGGGAGGA